CAGGTACATTTTTAGTCTATTAGATGTGGTTGAGACCCTGATTATGGTTAATAACATACGTTTGGCAATTAGGACGCTCGTTTGCCAAAAAATGACATAAAAGTAGTCATTTGGCATTCGAGTGTCTAATTTTCAAATAAAATACCGGATTTAAATGAAACTTGGGTTAATAGTTGGATTGTGGAATAAGTTTTATATGTTTGCTTGAATCACTCTAATATGACATCCTATGTGAAAATGGAGCACGTTGGAAAATTGCTTTTGGTGAACTATCATGACAACAAATGGTATCATGTGTGTCGTGGTGCATGGTGACATGCTGATGTGCATGGGACAGAGCAAAACCTTGCCTCTCCATGCCATATGCTGCAGCATATGGCTACAAGCTATGACATATGTGCCATTTTAAGCAAAAATGACTTTTATGCCACTATTTTCATGTATGATTTATTTCATGATTGTTTTATGCTTTCATATTCTAAAACTTTATCTGTTTAAGCTTAAACTACTATTTTGTAAGGTTTTGGGATCTTAGTAGTTTTCAAAGTTTTTGATTGTTTATTTTTAACCCTTCTATATTTGAGGTAAGCTTTGAAGCTTAATGACTCCTAATTACCTTTTAATGTATGATTGTGGTGAAATGTTGATAATATTAAGGCGAACATTATAGTTACGAAAGATAATAATTTCTTAGAAGTATCTTAAAAATTGAGATCCTAAAATTCATTTGAAAATAGTAATAAAGTGATAACAGTTGAAACCACATAAAATTATAGTGCAAGAGTTTTTGAAAACATGGGATTATGTTTAGCATTAAGAATTTAAATTAACAAGGTTAATATTGTCAAATAGCAAAACTATTATATCTATTCTGACTAAACATTCATCCGCTACGGTCGATCATGAATAACAACATCCACCGCAGCTAAGAATTTGTCCGATGTAGCATGTGGTATAAAAACCACTTTATCGTAGTTAACAGCCTTATTTGCCGTAGCTAGCCCTATATGACACCTCTGTCACGACGGAAGCCCTCATCAATGCAAAAATATGTGACAATAAATACCAACTTTTAATGTATCTAATTAATTGCTCAAGCCTACAATTAAGGTTATCCAATCATCCACACGTAGATAATTTAATGAACTATCTAATGGCCTTGGTTTTATTTCAAACTGATAATGAACAAAGATCCTGAAACACTTGATATTGAAACTAACCTTAGTTCCAAAGACACCCCACTTGCATATCATTAGCAAAAGCACTCACACATGCATAGAACATATTTTAACACCCCAATTTAAATTTTAAAAGTTACTTAGAATTTAAAAAATGAAAGTACGTTTAAAAATAAATTTAGGATATAATTTTAATTTAAGATGCTTAGAAAATAATAATAATAAATGTCATATAAATATATGGATACATATATATAACAAGAGGGGGGTTGGGGATGTTCATCTTGTACCCATCTCAATTAGCCCAGTATTGTTTTGATCATATCGAGATAGGTCTCGTCTCGATCCGAAAACAATTGGGACAAGACTTTGAGGGATATGACAAGAAAGGAGTTTAGGATGAGACACACGATTACCATTGAGATATTTCATCCCATTGCGAATGTTATATATATTATTTTTTATTTTAAAAATATATATTAAATATATTAATTATATTAATATAATTTATACTTATACATTCTCTTTCTTTCTTTATTATTCTTTTTTTAATTTAACTTTGCAAGTACAGTGAGCTAGTAAAAAAGACATTCAATAAATTTATCCTTGAATCTTGAATCTTCATTTTTCATTGCTTTTTTTTTTTTAACTAGTCTCTTACTAGTATTGGGGATGAGGTCGATGTGACTCTAATTTAGTCAAATTAATTTTTTTCCTATTTTTTAAAGGACAAATAAATAATATTAGTATTTAGATATAATAAAATTATAGATTAATATTCACTGAACTTTAAGTTAAAAATTTAAATTTTAGATGTAGGCTATAAAATATAATATTGAAATGGATTTAAAGTTTAAAATATTAAAATAAGGAAATGTAAACTATGAGAAAAAAGGAGTACAAACTACAAAATATCAAAACTCATATTCTATGTATTTTATTTTTCCTACGTTGAGAGGGTGCATATGCCCTCCTCAATTACAAGTAGCTCGGCCTATGCACAAAACTAAACCTTCATTTTAAAATGCAGTTATGCTAGAACTTGACTTTGAATTCTGAAGCTTTGTGGGTAAGAGTGCTTCCGTCTAAATACAAGTGTGGTGAGAATGCTCTATCTCTGATAGTTAAAAGAAAAAATTCACCTGAAACTTGGAAGAGTATTGTCAAGGATCAGGATAGATTTCAAGAAGGGCTATGTCAAAGATGCATTCCTGGGAGATTATCTAGTTTTTGGTGTGAAAATTGGTCTGCAATGAATGAACCTTTTGATCAATCTCATGAGGAGTAACAATCCTCCTGTGAACATTCATGATACTATTGAACAATTTCTTGCAAGTCCCTGTGGTTCTTGGGACTTGCAAAAAATGGCGAGTTGGCTCAACTTCTCCACTATTAGGCAAATCACTAATTATAACCCACCTAATGTGTTCAGAGGGAGTGAAAATTGTGTGGAAGCCATCCACTAATGGCTCTTTTAACATTGAATCTGCATATGATTTCCTTTTTGCAGGTATAGGCACAGGCAAAGACAATCTTTGGACAAATATCTGGAAATGGAGTATCCCGAAAAAAATGAAAAATTTCCTATGGCTCCTGGGCAGAAATAGATTACTCATTGCTCAATTAAGGGGACGAAGGGGACTATCAGAATCAAGCCATGGTCCGTTCAGGTGTAATGAGGAAGAAACAACCATGGACATAGTCCGCGATTGCAAGATGCTTAGCGGCAAGTTGTGAAACCAAAATACTGGAATAGATTTATGTAGCAACAGTGTTAAGAATGGATCAGATAGAATTCAATAAATGAACCTAGATGGTCTACCAACTTTGCATATTTATGCTACGAACTCTGGACTAATAGATGCACAAATCTCTATAGAGGAGAGGAACCTGTCATGCAGATCGACAATAGAAAGTGTATTCAAAAAGTCTACACTAATATTAACATAATGAGGAACATGGGCATACATGGAAGACCCCATAACAGCCCCAACAACTAGCACACTCCAAAAGAGGACTTTGTCCGACTTGATGTGGACGGTTCTGTGTACGCAAATGGATAGGCCACGTGGTGGATGACGAGGGCAACTGGGTGATGGGCTTCTGTTGTAAACTGGGGAATCTACCTCCAGCTATATAGTAGAAGTCATGGGAATCACTATGGGCTTAGAACACCACTAGTAGAAAGAGCTCAAGGAAGTTGAAGTCTATTCATATTGTGTGGAAGCTATTAATTTCATCACTGGAGGTTACGGTGTGGATCACCCTTTCCATGATGTAATTCATAATGTTTGTAATTTAATTAATAAGGACTGGTTAGTTCACATTAATTTTGTTTATAGGGATGTGGTCAGTTTTGCTAACTCCCCAGCCAAAAAAGCTCACGTTGTTAAGAGTTCTTTTTGCGTTTTTGATCACGCACTACCTTGGTTATATGAAGGAGGTGAATGATGAATGACTTGTTTCTCTAATAGTCGGTTGACCATGCTGGTTTTCAAGTTATGAATACATTTCAGTTTGATTCCAAAAATAAAAAATAAAAAAATGCGAAGGGTGATAGGACATAGAGCAGCCGCATAGTGGTCGTGGGACTGACTGGTCCAATCCTTAAGTGTGATAGAACAAGTCCAATATTTTCACCACCAGGCCCTTTATGGAAACCTAAAAAAGTACAAATGACTCGAAAGCTCAATAAAAAAATCTAAAGCTCATTATTATTTTGGCCCAACATCTCAATGTTAAATTCTAAACATGAAGCGTCAGTTCCATAATAGGAACTTTCCTTCCTCTTGTGTCAGGGAACCAAAATAATCATAATAATAACAATTAAATCTTAAAATACTGAATTATTATAATTAAATTTTTTAACAGATTTTTTAAAAAAATAAATTAAAAATATCGATATAAATTATTACAAGTTCAGAAATTTCGATTGCAAATAATTATTTAAATATTAAATATAATTTTTAGATTGTAATATAAATTTTTATTTATAATTGTTTGAATTAATATTTATAATTCAATTTGTAAAAAAATTTATCAAGAATCTAGCCGTGGTTAATTTACTTCTTTAACACCTAACTGTTATTTTCCACAAAAAAAAAAATCTTACAAGGGCCCCCACCATCACGGGTTGGTTGGACACTTGTACTCTTGTTATTGTCGTTTATATATATATATATATATAACTCACAGATTCACAAGTCACGAATCCGATGAAGCATGTCCGTGCACTAGATTCTGTCGGGAAAAAATACATATCTGTTCCCTTTTTTAATCTTTCTGATGAAAACATATATTTATGGATTAGATTTTTGGCCAACATATTTATGGATTAGATTGCTTGTGCATGTATCGTCCAAGTTTGTTAATTAGGATCAACGCCTTTGTAAAGCGAATTTTAAATCCAGCTTCTAAATCATATTTGTGAAACCATTACGTGTTTGATCCCATATAGTTGTGAATTAGTCTATGAGTACTAAATCATTTGTGAATCAACGTGACTGGAATTCTGGCCCGATGTGGGACAAGATAATTTTAGACTCCAGTTTTGATGCTCGGGCTAGGTATCCTATTCAATCTATAAAAATAATAAGCAAAAACTTTATTTTTATATATTAAATGCATATTATATAGCGTGTATCTCATGAGCATATGTTTCTTGACAATAACAATACAAATATATAATATTTATTAAATAATGTAATAAAAAACATATAAGAAACGATGCTTGTACAGTCTTCAAGTGCTCATTATATTCCATATAAATTTATCCCGGGTTAAGATTTGGTGAAATCACGAGTCATCACAAATGATAAAGAGAGCAATATTGGCATGAACGCTGGAAGGGAGCATGTTTTTCAGGTCAAAAAAGTAAAAATATGTAAGAAATGGCGTCATGACATGAGAATCGAAGGCGGATTAATTAAGTAAGGCGACGAGCTTGTTAGACTGATAGGTGGTGTTGATGTGTTATATCTGCAACATGAAAGCGTCTCTCTGGCGTGGCGCTTAGAAAGAGCGATGAAACAGCTTAACAGATGGAATGTGTAATTAAGGAGCAGCTCTAAGGGCCAAGGGTTTGGACGATTTGACCCGTTCCCCTGACTGAAGCCACGTTTACTAATTATTGGCTTCGCAATTATAGCAGTCTTCCCTGTATCATAACACCGTTCATGGAACAACGCAGTGGCATGCACTCTGGTCACCGTAAAACGGGCTGTCCATTTTCTAAATTGAGGCTCCACACCTGAACCTGAGGTATTGATAATGCCCGCAAATAGCAACACGACCCACCGAGGCATATATAGCAATTAGGAACCAGCGCTCATAAAAACGTTGGCATCAAGATTTACGACCCAAAATGCCGCCTGCTTCCCTCGCCGTCCTTCTGGCTCTCGCTCTGCTCCTCCCCACTGCCAAGGCTGCCTCCCTCGCCGTGGAGAGGCCCTTACCTCCCCTCGCTTACAACGACGGCGACCTGCTCACCGGCAGCATCGACGTCGCCCTTCTGTGGTACGGCAACGTCACCAAGGTGCAGAAGAACAAGATTCTGGCCTTCCTCAAGTCCATCAACGCCGACAGGGTGCCCCAACCCAACGTGGCCACCTGGTGGAAGGTCGTGGAGAGCTACCAAACGTTCGCCAGAAAACCACCAGGTCCCATCAGCGTCAGAGTGGTGAGCCAGAAGCAGGACCCCGGTTACTCTCAGGGCAAAGTCTTGATCAAGGACATGATCATGGCATTGATCCCCGGCCTCACCGGTGGCAACAACAACCTTCTCGCCATCATTGTCGCCTCCGACGGCGTCACCGTCCAGAACATGTGCGCCGGAAGCTGCTGGCAGCACGGCAGCTTAAGTAATCTTTCTCGCCTTTTTTCCCGAAAGCATGCCTTTGTCTCTAGGATATTTAATTGTAATACTGATCGGCACTGACTATCATAATATAACTGCTCTCGATGACGGCGCAGCTCTAAATGACAAGCCGCAGGCGTACGTGTTGGTGGGTAATCCGGAGAACGAGTGCCCCATATGTGCCTGGCCGTTCGTGAGGGACGTGCACTCGCCGAGAGGGTCGCCGGTGCTGAGGCCGCCGAGTTCGAACCTGGGAGCGGACACGATGGTGATGTCGCTGGCGGGGGGGTTGATGGGAGCGGTGACGAACCCGCACGGGGAGGGGTTCTACGTGGAATACAGGAATGAGGAGGTGGACGCGACGGCGTCGTGCAAGGGGGTGTTCGGAAGCGGATCATCGCCGGGAAACCCGGGAAAGGTGTTGTTAGACCGTAGGAATTTCGGATCCTTCAACGTGTACGGCGTGGCACGCCACAAGTTCTTGATTCCCGGAGTGTGGGACCCGAAAACGAAGTCGTGCTGGACTCCTCTGTAATTTAATTATTTTTCCCTCACCTTTCTTTTTTTGCACCATTTTTCCATTTTCTTTAAAATTCTTCTTATGTGGAAAACTTTATTAGGAAATGGCAAGCAATGGGGCCTACGCGATAGCAAGAAAGAATACGTACATTTTATTTTCCCCCAATTTTGTGACATTTTAACAATAATTTTGATTCTACTTAATTAAAATTTATTTATATTTAATAAGTTATAAAATTATAATTTATATTTATTATTTTTATTTAATATTATTATAATTTTATTTTTATATATACATTTAATATTATTTTATTTAATATTATTATAATTTTATTTTTATTTAATTTTATAATTTTTAAATAATAAGGACAACATTTCTCTTTGAAAATAATTTAAAGATAAAATTACACCTTAACTCATGAAAAGTGAATCCCACTTATTATAGTAATAGACATTTAAACAGTAGAAGTAATATTATTTTTTTGAGAATAATTTAAAGGTAAAATTGTATATTAACCTTTAAAAATACGTATGTTTTCATAGTAGTTACAAATCTAATAATAAAATTTATCTTTCAAGTGTTTTTGGCCTTCATCGTGTCAAATATCATGGGTGAGATGTTGACCAGATTGTTTTCACGATAATTGATGATTGGTAGGTCATGGTTCTTAATTGTTCAATTGCATAACTAAATGATTTACGCGTCTTTTTTGGTAATGGATGATTTATAAAGTCACTAAATGAGTCCTTCATTTTTTCTTGGAAGTGATCATTTGTTTGAATCTAACACGGCGTGGTGGGCATTTAATGAGTACTGGTTAATTGAAAATAAAAGAAGTATCGTTGCTTTTTTCCCCAAAAAAATAAGAAGTGTCGTTGCTGTTTCATAGTTTGTGCTTCTTGACAAAACACGTGGTAATGTTTTGAATAATTTCCTTTTCATTTATTTGATAAATTGCTAATTAAATATAATTTGCAGAGGTTAATTACTCCAATGTCTCTCATGTATTGTATGATTTTAATCACCTAAATATTGAATTCTTCAAGCCTGCGAGTTGTCGAAAACCTGTGCTGGAAAATAGTGCTCTGTGTTGTTCATCGTTGTGACACCGAAGAAAGTGATATTTGGAGCTTGTCATAATTTTAGATAGATAATTAAGCAGTTCGATTTTCCTGATATTTCTTCAATATTTTCTAATATATTTCTGCTTATTCAAGAATTTATGGATTAAAATACATTTGTTTTGTAGCGCGTGCGTTTGCCATTCAATAAACTAGATGAATTACCTTCAGCTTTTGGGCCATCCATGTTATTGATCTTGCTATATTATTTTAGGTTGTATATTATTGCAGGAGGATCGAGTAGTGGCTTATGTCTCTCGACAGTTGAGGCCTCATGAGGAAAATTATCCTACTCATGACTTGGAGCTTGCTGCTGTGGTGTTTGCCTTGAAGATTTGGAGGCACTATCTTTATGGTTCTTCTTTTGAAGTCTTCAGTGATCATAAAAGTTTAAAATATTTGTTTGATCAAAAGGAACTCAACATGAGACAATGCAGATGGATTGAGTTTTTGAAGGATTATGACTTTGAGTTGAAGTATCATCCAGGGAAAGCAAACGTAGTCGCCGATGCTTTGAGCAGGAAGCTTGTACATACTACTCACATGATGGTCAGAGAACATGAATTATGGAGTAGTTTTCATGCAGTAAATGTAGAAGTAGTTGATAATTGTTTGGCTGCTCTACACATTACTGAATTTGAGAATAATTTTTGGGAAGAAATCAGAATTGCGCAACAGAAGGACGATCATTTGAATAAGATTAGGGTAGAGATTGGGGCTGGAAAGGCTGAACATTTTGATATGACCGATGATGATGTCGTAAGATATAAAGGTAGAGTGTGTGTGCCTAATAATGCTCGATTGAAAAATATCCTACTTGAGGAGGCTCATTGTAACACACCAAATTTTTTTTTTAAAAAATAATTTAACTCAACCATAGTTAGGTTACAGCCACCCAACATATTTTTATATCAATAATTTCAATATAAAATATTTTATAATTGGCTTTAACTCACACAATATAACATTTCAGATAAATTTTTACCTCCCACATGCCACTAGGCTAAATCACACTTGTCCATCCTTATACTCTCAACAAATAAACTAAATCACATTTGTCCATCCTTATACTCCCAACAAGTAAAATAAATAATTTAGTCAATTTTCAACACAAGTCAGTTATTTGGCCTCATAATCATGCCATTTTAACCAATCCAAATTAAATCAAATATTAAAATTAGAGTCATCTAAATTGTACCAAAAATAGAAATAGTTTGAAAGGCATGATTACATTTACTTATTTTTATATAATTGACAATAAACAAAAAGCCCTAATGTTGGCAATATAACACATTATAAATCATAAACTAAATACCCAAAAGAGACAGTGGATCAATGCCACTAAGCCTCTGGGACTCCTTCACGTGTTACTCGTGGCTCTTCTCCTGAAAATTGTTAACCACATAATGAGACTGAAAAGTTTCAGTAACCAAAGCCAATTTATGATAGTGTGTACAAACAGTTAAGTGTGTGCTTACTAAGTGGGAACCAAAAATAATATAATTCCAACAAAATATAAGAAATATTATAATACACACAAATAACCATCCTTATATCCCTTCATTAACCTCGAGCCGTAGCCCTCACTCGGTGCTAAATTACCTGGCCAAAGGTAGATTAGCCCGAGCCCTTACAAGCCACCTATTGAGCTCCAATAGGGGCGTACCACGTGGCACATAAATACAACAACAATAGTAAGTCTCCCAACACCTCCCATAATAATCAAACAAATTCATAATAATATTACACAATTATACAATATTACAAAATTCATAATTTTTTCAATAATCACCCAATTAACATGAAGTAACACTAATCACAAATTAAAAGCATGGTTACCTTGTGGCTTTTTCAATAAATTATTCCTTACAATTTCTCTCCCACCACAAATTTCACCAATAATACAATCTACAAATAACATATTATTTATAAATATTAGTTTCAATTTTTGAAACTAATAAAATAATTCTAATAATAGAATTAAAAATATAACATAATTCCTAATTATAAATCTTAATATAAATTTAGAGTTAATACTATTAAGTAAAATTTTTAACTCCTCTTTTAATTATCAATAAACATTAATAATCTAAAAATCAACTTCTAAACTAATTTCTATTATCAAAATTTTCTTTTTTATTTCATAAATTCGCACCTAAAATATTCAAAAATTAAAAATTGAATCTCTAGCTTAGAATCATAATCCTATAGCTATAATAATTCATTTCTCATCCCAAATAATCATCTAAACCTCAATAAATCAACATATATTTTCAGATCTAGTTTAGAATTTGATCCATAAGCCACAAATTTAAAGATCATCAACAAATTTATACTCTAGAACATTTATTATACTACTAACAACCTCATAAATCATATTTATTCAACATAAATTGATCACTCTTTCAGATCCTAAATTTTCTACCACCACAAAATCAGAAACCAAAGAGGAAGGATGACTAAGAAAATTTTTTAGAACACTTACTTAGTCTTGAAAAGCTTAAAATCACATCTTAAATATCCTATTAAAAACTCTTACTTTAAAACCCAGCACCGGTGAACTTGGCTCACAGACGCTCTCTCTGCCTCAGCTCACGCACGAAGGAAAGAATGAAGAAATGAAGAAAACAGGTGAGTTTTTATAAAAAAAAAAATTCAGTGGGTCTCATATCTTTTTTTATTATTTCTTCTTTTCTCTCTCTCCCTTTTTTTTATTATTATTATATACATAATCATTGCACCAAAAGCTGATCGCATTTTCTTCTTTCTTTCCTTCCTCTTTCTCATACCTTTTCTCTTTCTTTCTTTTTATAATAATAATAATAATTTAATAATATTTATTTATTTTTTTTAATTAATTAATATTTATTTTTTTTAAATTTTTTTATTTTAATTTAAAATTATATCCTAAATTAGATTTAATAATCATTTTCTACTAATTTGCTTACCTCTAAATATTTTTTTTAAAATTTATATTAATCAAAATTAACTATTAAAATTTAAATTGGGATGTTACACTCATCAGAGTAGATATACCATTCACCTAGGAGCAACTAAGATGTATCATGACTTAAGACGTGGTTGGTGGTGGCCAAGGATGAAGAGAGATGTAACTGAACATGTAACTCATTGTTTGACTTGCCAAAAAGTCAAAATTGAGCATTAGAAACCAACCAGAATGCTACAGTCTCTTGATATTCCAGAGTAGAAATGGGACAGCATTTCTATGGACTTCATTACAGGATTACCTAGAACATCTTCTGGTCATGACACTATATGGGTAATTGTAGATCGACTTACCAAATCGGCTCACTTTCTTGCTATCAATATCACTTATTCTCTTGAAAAATTAACTGAAATCTATATAAGAGAAGTGGTAAGATTGCATAGAGTGCCGACAAATATCGTATCTGATCATGATCCAAGGTTCACATCAAACTTTTGAAAGTCATTACAGAAAGCCATGGGTACTTGTCTGAGTTTTAGCACCGCTTACCACCCCCAGACTGATGGGCAAACGGAACGAACCATACAAACTCTTGAAGATATGTTAAGAGCTTGTGCCATTGAGCTTAGAGGTAATTGGGATAGTCACTTGCCATTAGCTGAATTTGCCTACAATAACAGTTTTCATTCTAGCATTCAGATGGTACCTTATGAGGCATTGTATGGAAGAAAATGTAGATCGCCACCGTGTTGGACAGAATTAAGTGAGAAAACTGTTTTAGGGCTAGACATTGTTGATGAGACTACCCAAAAGATTGCTTTAATTAAGCAAAAATTACTCACAGCTCAAAGTAGACAAAAGAGTTATACAGATAAGAGGAGAAGACTGCTTGAGTTTGAAGTAGGTGACCATGTATTTTTGAAAATCTCTTTGGTAACTGGTGTTGGAAGAGTTATTAAGGCTAAGAAGTTGACACCAAGGTTTATGGGGCCTTTTGAGATCTTAAAACAAGTTGGACCAGTAGCGTACCAAGTAGTATTACCACCCCAAATTGTTGATATACACAATGTATTCCATGTATCACAACTGAAAAAGTATCA